AAGTGAACAAAACTGTGGCAAAGTATCAAAACAAGACTATGGCAAAAATATCAAAGCAAGATTAAAATGACTGTGAAAAAACATGGCTGTGACTAAAACAGTAAACAAAACTATGGCATGGCTGTGACAAAATCAAACCTGACGTGGCGAGGGGTGACAAAAAGACGAAAAACGAAAATGACGAAAACGCACTGGCCCAGGACATGGGAAACGAGGACTATTTAAACCCATGAGGGAGGGGAACCCCAGGTGTACACAATAGGTGATCAAGACATGACAACACACCAGACATTCCCCCAGACGTGACAAGCATTTCTACAGAACGTCTGCTCTGGGCTGCTCTAGTTTTTGATGCGGGAAAGGGCTCTGGCGAGGTTCAGTGGGTTCATTATGGTAGAACAGAGAATGTCAGCTCTCTGGGGAAGAACCCTTGGATGGGTGGATTGCGGAGGTCGGCGGTGGATTGTGATTGTAGCCAGAGCAGTGAGGGCCAAGACTGAACACACACACACACACACACACACACACACACACACACACACAGAGCCCGATCCCGATCCCTCAGCCCTGACTCACCGGTCTGTTTATGTAGAAACGAGTAAAATCTCCTGTCTAATATCTAAGGACTGGCAGGCTCCCATTGTTTGGACTCCCTCCAGACTTTTATCAGCTTTTTCATTCGCTGATCCGGCCACTGCCAACGGATACTCGTCATTTAGCCGAGACCGGAGCGAACGCTTATGTTTAGAGCTGATATCCTGCTATTTGTATAACCCTAAATGTCCAGATGCGTGCATAACCAGCAGTGAAATCACTTGGTTTCAATCTTTAGCTATTGTAAAGTTTAATAATAATAGTAATTCTAACTCTAATATCTGTTTTTTCGGTCTAAAATGCACAACATGACTTTTTATAGTGTTTAACTTTTTTAAACTTAGTTAACTTCCTGAGAAACCAGCTTTTATTTGGTGTGCATTTTTGCTTTCTCCTAGATATATGGGATTAGTATTAAGTTTAATAACTTATTTAGTTTTTCTTCATATAGGAACAGTGGGTTTAGCTTTGTATATAAAATTAGTATTTTAAAGTTTTCTAACATGTGCACTCTTTGGAAGATTATGTGCATAACCAGCTGTGAAATCACTTGGTTTGATAATAATAGTAATTATAACTCTAATAAAAATCTGTTTTTTCGGTCTGAAATGCACAACATGACTTTTTATAGTCATAAAATTAAAATAAAATAGTCATAGTTAACTTCCTGAGAAACCAGTGTGCATTTTTGCTTTCTCCTAGATATATGGGATTAGTAGTAAGTTTAATAATTTACTCAGTTTTTCTTCATATAGGAACAGTAGGTTTAGCTTTGTATATAAAATGAGTATTTTAAAACTTTCTAAAATGAGCACTCCTTGGAAGATTAATGCAATTATTCGAATTGTATTCATGTGAATTAAGAATTTAGTGTTTGTTATAATCTTTTCGGTAAACGACGCTGCAGTTTGCATGGCCAGCAGTGTCCAGTTTGGTGGTGTATTTTTCCATGTGTAAAGGTTTCCAGTAAAGCTCAGGGTTTATACAGATACGATGTCAGTTCGCTGTTTTTTCTCCACTGATATTTGGAGCTCAGCTGCTGCTTCCTCCATGTGAGGATGAGCCCTAATGGGAAGCAGTAACATGGCCACTCGTCCCTAAATATCCTTCTGTTTGGACAACAGAACCATGTTGATGCAACTTTTTCAGTCATGAAAATTGAGGGAAAATAGATGCTAGTGAAATCTTGTGGAAGTAGATGCTAGTGGTCCATGAAACCTAGTGGAATAAAACTAAATGACAATATTCCCCTGACTAGATCTTGTTTCAGCTCTATTTTTACCACAGTCCCATACAAGGATGTGGAGCTTAAACAAATTATTTTTATCATGCTCTTATGCAACGCATAAACAATCAGATGCAGCTACATATTGACACAGTCGTTTCTGACTGTCTGTATACCTTTTGGGTAATTTATTTTGATTGTTCTGCTTTGAATTATACGTTCTTAGATGTGTGAAAAAGTGTAGTTTTCAGATCCACGTCGATGTTTGAACGCAAATTGGAGCTCTTTTTTGTGAAGTGTATGAGTTTGTGTGCGAGTTTGCATCATCTCACTCGAAAAATGTGGTGCTCAAGAAAGTTAAATTGTCTCCATCAAGACGTGTGAATGGAGCATTTTTTACTCAGGCATTCATATATGAGGTCCTCAGGTGTTCTCTGGGACTATTAAAGCCAAATCATTGACCTCTCCACAGCCTTATTGACTGTCTTTAATCAAAACATCCTTCTTGACTGATTTATTAAGATTCTGTGTCAGATTAATACCATTTACTGGTCCTCAGATTCCTCATACCTATTTTTATGTCTAGTGTAAGCATTTTATATACATGTACATTTGGTTCTGAGGTCCAGGGATGGACTGGCGACCAGTCCAGGGTCTACTGCACCCCCCCCCACCCAATGAGGCTGGGCTGCAAGAACAAGTTTATTTTTAGTGTAAAAAAGACTGGAGCTTAGAGCAAATTCAACCTAAAGTTAAAAACCACACTCCAAGTCTGCTAAAATTAAATCAATCAATCAATCAATCACTTTATTTTGGTAACTTGTCCACATTAAACACAAGAAACAACAAAATAAAAAAATAAAAAAAACAATAGACAAACCCACAGTTTACCAAAAAAGGAATAGGCCGAAGCAAAGCTTATTCTTGCCTACCCTATTTTTTACCTTACAACCTACCAGGATTTCTTCAAATTCAGATTTGAAGAAATAAGACAAATAAGGCATAACCAAAGAGGAATATATAACATGCAAGCCTTTAACATTTATTAGTCTGAAGACATCCAAATATGCAATGACAAAAGATCTCAACTGGTTTTTCTGGACGTATATTTGAACGCCACAACTCTTAAAAAAGTCGCAAAGGATGCAAATGGCCTTCTGGCCCCCAGTCCAGACCTCAACCTTATTTTTCCATTCGTTCATTTCTTTTTTTCCCAGGTGTTATATCTCGATGCCTTCTTGTTTTTCTTGCAGGATCCGGCCTGTAGCCATCCACCCCGGCCACGGCCAGCAGTACGTCATAAAGCCCAAATACTACCACACACACACCACCCAGACGCACGTGCAGAGCCAGCCGGAGAGGCCCATCCCCCTCACGGTGGGACACACCCCCATCCACGGTAAGGCCCAAGACCCCCTTCAGTCTTTAGAAGTTTTTTTCTGCTCCGTAGCATCACACTCAATTTCAATATCGCTCTGTCATTAGTTGATTAGATTTGTTGAATTGTCGGCAGTTTGACTGCAGTTTATTTCTTGGACACGTTCGTTTATTTTTGATATCCATTGATTTTCAGCAAAAGCAAGCGGTCATTCATTAAATAGTGTCTGTTTTTTCATTTCCTTTGTGTGAGCTGTGCTTTTGTCCGGGGTTATGATTAATATAAAAGATAACGTGTTTAAATGTAATCCCAAATTTGAACGCTTATTTGCACTCTGAATCCATCGCCATTGTTCTGAAACCAGGAGGATATGAAGGACTTGTTGAACTGCAGAAGCGGCTCTAAAAACTTAAAGACTTTCTGCTGGGAGCTGTCCAAAATGAATTAATAGTCCCATTTTCTTTGGGTAATTCCGGACAAAGGCCAGGATGCTGAAAATTCAGGCCCAAGAGATGCAGGAGGATAACTGTGTCATCCTGGGAAACGCTCCTTTGCTGAAAGATGCTAAGGCCTAGCCTCCGAATACCTGTTCAAGTCTTATTTTTGCAGTGGTCGGCAGAAGAAGCCAAAAGATTAACAACCTCTGCCAGAGATTTGCTTTCTATAGATAAATACAATGTTATTATATGAGGCTTGTTACAGACCCAGTTTGTGGACACACTTTGATTCTGAGCTGCCCGACATGTGGAAGTGAAAACCAGCGAGCGTCTGTAAAGAAGCCAGTATTTTTCAGAGCTGCCTCTGACCACAGGCCAGCTATATTAATGCGGTGGTCAGAGGCCCGGTCGGTCTGTGTGGAGGCTTGGCTTCGCAGCGGACCAAACCGCAGAATCCTCTCAGTTTGTTTAGATAGCCGGCTCTGCTTTTTTCATTTCAAGCCCAGACGTTTGTAAGTACCAAAGAAATGGGCAAATATTGGATAAAAACAAAACGAATGTGAATAGACGAGTGTAGTCAGACACTTTTTTCAAGGAGACAAACGACAGCAGTACAAAAAGCTGATATATTGTTTTGTTGTCATTGATGTGTTTTGCACATCCCTTTTTACTTGACTCATCCCTGTAATGATCATCATAATTAATGCCACATCAATGCTGTACTCAATTCCAATTATACAAAACTTATACCATCTCTACCAGACAAAGTCCTCAGAATGCAAGGTGTGATTCATCAAAATAATGTCAGTCTTAAACAGAATATATCCCAAGTACATAAAAAAACATCAACATTTTGTCGACCATTGCTGTTAAACATAAAATGGAGGAATTTCCCTTTGAAATAAGCAGTTAGAAGTCATCAGAGTACATCTACTGCAAAATGAAAGCGGCAGTAACATTTTATTTCCTGTACCAGTGAAATTGTACTTATAAAATAGTAAATGTCTCTCTCCCAGATAGTAATTAGTACAACTGACAAGAAGAAAAAGAGGATCTAGTCTGTACAACTTTAACATGTTTGTTAAGGAAACTGGACAAGTCAGAAGCCGTGTGATTGAATGATCTGCCCCAGTGAGGTGGTCCATATGGTAAAGAGAAGAGGTCCCAGTACTGAACCTTGGGGGACTCCTCTGGTTAGGTGGTGCTCTACAGAAGTGTGACCATGCCAGGTTACTCTGACTGACCGACCAGGGAGGTAGGAGGACTGTAGACCAGTTTGAGCTCAAATGAATGCATTACCTACAAAAAATTGGAGGAATCAGGGCAGTCGAGGTGGATATTCATGTCACCAAGGACCATTGCGGGCCAGTCGTGTTCCTGGATGTCTACCTCGTGTAGAAGGTCACCGAGTTGTCCTGGTGGCCGATACATCAAGCAGGTTCTGACCAGAGCAGCTATGGGATGGTGTTCAAAAGGGTCGTATTTGGCATCAGGTATCAGCTAATTGTACTTCCATTAGTTGGAAATGAGCAGGCCTGGTCCACCAGGCCTGGAGAATGTGTTGTTGGTGGAGGCAGATGGCCGCCCACCCTTAGCCATGGTTCTGCTCGAGGTTTCTGCCTGTTAAAAGGAAGTTTTTCCTTGCCTGTGTCGCCTAGTGCTTGCTCATGGTGGGAATTGTTGGGTTTCTGTAGTTAACTTCAGAGTAGGGTCTGACCTGCTCTGTTTGGAAAGCTGTGAGACAACTGTTGTTGTGATGTGGCGCTATATAAATAAAATTGAAATGAATTGTAGCCGGTGTAGCGCTGTTTATTTTAGGCATAGTGACAGCCAGGCTGTCAAATGACAGGCTTTTGGCGTTAGCACTAATAAAGCCTGCTTTGTTGATATTGATCTCTAAGCTTTACCTTCAAAGATCAAAATGGAGCAAGATCTGCTAAGTCAGTTGTTTTTCAGTTAAACTTCAGGTGAATTCCTCCACGAGGGTCTGAAATGACTCTTAAGTGTAATAGCAAACATCAAAAAGAAAAGAAACCCCCCTCTGGACTTATATATTACCAGTGTCATTCCTCTCCGGTCCACTCTGCAGACTGCTTTCTTCCCTCGGCCGACTGATGTCTGTGTTTTGTCTGAAACGCTCTTCTGACTTTCTTGCCATATGTTTGACAAGACCAATAAAATCTGCCAGCAACATGTGCAAAGATCCACAGCCACAGAGAGCAGTCAGGGAAGGTTTTTTTTTATCATTGTTGTTCCCAAGAACCGGCTCCCAGAGCCTAGTCAAAGTAATTCCCATGTTAGCGTCTCTTGGTCATTGGGTTTGGTCATTTTTTCCAAAAGAGAGCTGTAAACCAAACTGATTCTCAAAGATCAGGCCTGGCGTTCAGTGTCAGAATACTCTCTCGTGCTTTTAGCTGCCAAAAAAGGAAGCGTGGTCTGTTGTTAGATGTGAGCGTTTGCTTACTTACACAGTGTGTGTGGGACAAGTTGAGACCTGAACTGTAGGGTTGGATCTGAAACTATAACCAAACCTGTGAAGAACATCGGTCTGAGGCTTTGACCAGGCTATTAACTCCATTTATTCCAAATACTGATCCACTTCCACTCTTTTAGTGTTTTTAAAGCCAACTGTCATATCATATCATGTCATATCCGAGCCCTTTACAATAGCACATTTTTGCACCTATAAGTGATTGTCTAGGTAGCCTGGAGTGTGTTAGCCAGTGTTTTTTTTCCTGCGTCTGAAGTTTAGAAAACCTTGGCTTTGCTCCATGAGTCTGGCATGAACAGCTGATGGCCACAGACAGAGCACTGAGTTCAGCAGACGGGCGTCTGAGCCCAACACAGGGATGCCAAAGTCCGTGCCCCAGACACAGAGCGTCCACAACCCAGACAATCAAAGGGAGAAGCTCATTTGGGAGCTCCACTCGAGACGTCAAAGCCGGGGGAAGGACGGCTGTAAATAGGAGTGTCCCAGTCAAAGTCAGTGAGTCATTCTTCTTCTTCTCAGGTTGTGTCGAGGATTTCTTGTGGGTCGGAAGAAGACGCAATCCCAACAAAAGCTTTTTGAACCTTTTCTTTAAACGCGCAGCTTGCAGATCTTGTGGGTTGACGGCAGAAGAGGAGCTTTTTTCTTATTGGGAGATGCCGAATCTCTGAGCATAGTTAGATGAACTTTAAGTGAAAAGGGAAGGGAAGCCAAGAAATAATAAGGACTCTGTAGATCAAAGAAAGCAGACTGAGAAGCTGAAGTTGGCATCTTGTGCTTGCCTGTTTGGAAATGGAGCTAATATCCACCTCTCAGAGGCTTCTGATGAAGAACTGGATGACATCCCAGTGTTTTGTTTGCTAACCTCTCCTGCGTTTTTTTCCCCTCTCGCTCACATTTCAGAGGCGCCACTGGACTTAGGAACAGTAGAGAGGAGGTGGAGGAAGGGAACTCATTCTTAGCTTTTCAAGACTTGAAGATGCCAGATTTTGCGGGGCATTATTTGGACTTTGGACACACTAGTAGACTGTGACAATCTCGAAACCCGAAAGTGACCTGGAGCCCGACGTCCAATGGATGAGAGAATAACCACGCTTTCTCTCCTCTCTCTCCCTTCCCTGCTGCTTTGCGCCTTCTTTTCAGCTGCAGTGGGCAATCACACGGGAAGGATTAAGGTGGTCTTCACCCCCACCATCTGCAAAGTCACCTGCATAGGAAGCAGATGTCAAAACAACTGCGAGAAAGGAAACACCACCACCATCATCAGTGAGAACGGCCACACCACAGACACCCTCACAGCGCCCAACTTCAGAGTAGGTAAGTGTCTGAGCCTCCCTCACAGACCCCCACACACTCTTTTGTTCCCACCCAGCCCATCGTTGACATAAAACATTTGGCGTGAACTAGTTTTGGTCCTAGAGAAGCTGCAGTTCTTTAGGGAGCAGTGAGGGACTAGCTCCATGGGCAAAGCAACAAAGCAAGGTTAACAAAACTGTGGCAAAGTATCAAAACAAGACTAAGGCAAAGGTACAAACAAGATTAACATGGCTGTGTTCAAAACGAGGCTATGGGAAGGCTGTGACAAAAATAGGACTATGGTACGAAAAGCTAGACTGTGGCAAAATATTAAGGAGTAAACAAGGCTATGGCAAAATAACAAAATAAAGATGAACAAAACTGTGGCAAGGCTGTGGCAAAACATGGCTATGGCAAAGGGGCAAATAATCAAACCCTTATGTGACGAAATGACGAAAACGCACTGGCACAGGACATGGGAAACGGGGACTATTTAAACACATGAGGGAGGGGAACCCCAGGTGTACACAATAGGTAATCAAGACATGACGAGACACCACACAATCCCCCAGACGTGACATGAGGGGCGCACGGCTTTGCTTTATCTTGGGACTCCTCTCTCACGCCCAGGTTGGCATGGTTTAGGACTTCAGATCGATGACTCCGGACTAAATGCCTCCACAGCCCCTTTTTTTTTACCTGCCACAGGGGCCTTTGCACTGTTTCCTCCACAGAACATGTTTTAGAAGATGTGAGTGTGAAGCAAACAAAAAATAGGACCAAATAAGGGAAAAGCTCAGTGTGTGAGACTGTGCGCCCCCTTAAAGTCAGTACTCTGTAAAGCCGCTTTAGATAATCTCAGTGAGCACGCCACTGGGTTTTTTTGGCCATTTCTCTTGGCAAAACTGCTCTGGCTCCTTCGTGTTAGATGTCGGTTGCTTGTGAATGGCAATCTTAAAGTCCTGGTGGTCGAAAAACATCCATTTCAGGTCTCATCTGACCAGAGCATCTTCCTCCAGACATTTGGGGATTCTCCCGCATGCCTCAGTCAAATCGGGCCTTCTCATTTCCAGCCCTGAGTAATGTTTTCTGGCCACTCTTAGACAAAGCCCAGCTCTGTGGAGTGCACAGATGCTGTGTGCTCTGTACCAAAGACCACAGACAGCGTCAGGAACAGCTCCCAAAGCCAGGATCTGGGATGGGATAGGGCTGTAGCAGGGCCTTTGGCAAAGCTACTTACCACCTCTGTCATGGCCACAGTTTCTACAATGACCATGCTGTTAAGAGTGGGACAAACTAATACCTGGGACTTCCTCATTCAGACTCTCCTGTGTCAGAAGGCCTTCACAGTGTTGTGAGAAGGAAGAGGGAGATAAAAGCTTCTTTCACATGCATTTAGAAGATGTTACAGGCCTGAAACGAAGGCAGTGACAATGAAAACTGAAAATAAAACTGAATATAAATCTACTTTATTGAGATTGAGAGGTCTAAACAAATGCATTTACTGTGTTTATTTCTCGAATATGGATTAATACAAGGTTCGCTAAAGACAAAAGATAGCTAAATCCGAACTGCAAAGCATGAAGCCTTCAGGAATGGAATTAGAATAAAGTCTTCTCTTGTTAGAGTAGTCAGTGGGCTGATGGAGGCCACTGTGTCGGAGCACATGTCTAGGAGTAGTTTCCCGTGTTGCACAAACCGGTAAATTGTGTCTTGACCTGCCTCAGAATGTAGCCGGAGTGGGCGAGTGTCCCCGGGTCGGATGCATGCAGAAACACGAAGAGTGGAACAAGCCGGATTCCTGTCTCAACAGAACCAATTAGTGTGGCTTACGAGGTCTTTATAAGACGGAAAAGGCATCGGGCGGTTAGCTAAACGTGGCCGGAGTTTACTGTTTAATTAGCCTTATTTGGAATGAAGTCATGTGAGGATTGGAAATCCTGTGTAGCACTTCAGTGAGTTTAGCTTTACTGTAGCCTAATATGCTAGAAAGGGTAATGCGTTGCTGTAGTCTTTCCAATCTCATGACTATGTGTGACTGAGCAGAAACCCTTAATGTATCCTTAGATTTTCTCTTTCCTAATGGTAATCGGCTTAAAAGTACACACCCAGAGGATTCGGAATCTAATCAGGCTTCCAGACTCAAGTGGTTGTAGGTAGTCACCTCCATCATTTCCTGATTGTCACTCTGCTCTAATAAAGTTCAGATTTTATGAGCTCAGCCTCATCTGACAAACGCACCTCCAGGTAAGTTAGGAATAATCCTTAAATGTTAGCTAGCAGAATGACAATATTAAAACAGGGAACCAGGAGACCGAAGACAGAAATGAGAAACAGCAGACGTACATCTCCTGAAACAGGATCTATGAAACACAGACCATGACACGGGTGCACCTGCAAACTTTGACTTGTTCAAATCTGCGTAAGCCACTTTTCTCACGGAGGTTGTGAAGAAAAACTGTGATCCCTCCCACACTGATTTATAGCTGTGAAACACACAGATGCCAAACATGACTGATGAACAGGGATAGCAAAGACAGGAAATGAAGGGAAACAAGACGAAAATGCAAGGAAAACCAGTTATGGAGACTGCTTTCCTTTATTTGGAAGGCTTATTAGCAAACCAGTCTCCCGTTACTGATGGTTTTCCAGTGATTTTGACATGGATTCTCTCTGTGAACACCTCACAAATCTGCAGACGTGGATGGGTCTCAGCTGACGTTGTAATTATTCCGGTTCCAGGTCCCAGAAACAAAGCTGGTCCTGTGTACCTGCCCAGACTTGCCTCGTGCCTCCCTTTGCCTTTGAGCTTTTTCTTCCTTCCCTTCTGCCGTCCTCCTCATTTCACCGACAGTTTGCACGCCTGAGCCAAAATAGTTCGATAACGAGTTCAAAGAACCAAACTTTGTGTTTTTTTTACCAAGCCCTTTCTTTTGTCTAGCGTCTTACATAGTTGCTTTTCAGGTGTTTATGGTGGACAGCTTAACCCTTAAATTGAATAATAAACTAGGGACTAGGGACTAGGGACTAAACTACACATTGGTCTAGAAGCATTTACAGATGAGTTTGACGTGTTGGGTTGTCTTCCCGTTGAAATATTTTGGATCTTTTCTCCTTCCAGTGGTGTGCCACTTGCCCTGTATAAATGGGGGGAAGTGCAGTGCCAGAGACAAGTGCCAGTGCCCTCCCAACTTTGTGGGGAAGTTCTGTCAGATGCCGCTTCAGAACGGACACCAGCAGCATCACCAGCAGACGTCGGGCCAGACGCAGGTCCACTCCACCCACACCCTGCCCCTGACCTACTCCAATGGCCAGCCTACCGGTGAGTAGTGGACAGTGCTCAAGGCAGGAAGCAGGATTAGCTTGTTTCTTCTCCATGTGAGTGAATAGCCTTATTGTACAGTCTAATGCTATAGCTGTAGGGGAAGGGTCTATAGTGATAGAAAATCGAGGTTTCTATACTCAGAGGGCTCAGTTTAGATGTATAAATAGTGTTTGACTTTGGTGTTTTCTCCTCATTAGGACTCGTTACAGTCCAGTAACAGTTCAGTTACATTTTTTTTGTAGAGTGAAATCATAACTATAGTAATCCATGGATGCTCCAAAGATAGAGTCCAATTCAAGCTAATTATAATTCAATTCCCTACAGTACAGTCAAGATCAAATCAAATGAACTGAATTACATAGAAGTCCAATTTCTACTAATTAAAAAAAGTTGAAAAGGTAATGAAAATCCACAGCCTGTCTGGAAACCTCTTCATGTATAATGCGTTCATCCATCCATCCACCCATCCATCCATCCATCCATCCATCCATCCATCCACCCACCCACCCATCCATCCATCCATCCATCCATCCATCCATCCATCCATCCATCCATCCATCCATCCATCCATCCATCCATCCATCCATCCATCCATCCATCCACATATTCATCCATCCATCCATCCATCCATCCATCCATCCATCCATCCACCCACCAATCCATCCATCCATCCATCCATCCATCCATGCACATATTCATTTATCCATCCATCCATCCATCCATCCATCCATCCACCCACCTATCCATCCATCCATCCATCCACCCACCTATCCTTCCATCCATCCATTCATCCATTCTCCGTACTGCTTATTCCCAGTGGGGTTTGTGGGAAAACAGCTCCAGGCTCCAGGATTTGAACCAGGAACCCTCCTGGTTTAATCCTAAAAGGAAATGTCCTTCTCAGTCTGTGGTTAGACAGAAAGCATGAGCCTGAGGGAATCATGGGTCTGTCCTGTCAGGGTTCGGTCCGGGCGTGGTCAACATCCACATCAAGCACCCTCCGGAGGCCTCGGTCCAGGTGCACCAGGTGTCCCAGCTGGACGATTACCACGGCAACGGGCACCCGCAGAAGGGCGCCTCCTCCTCCAGCAGCTACACCTACCACCACAGCGAGAGCAGCCAGAGCGTGCAGCGCCACAGCTACAACGTGCTCTACCCCGGCCAAAATGGCCACCAGCGGCCTCACCAGCCCGCCGCCTCCAAGAACACGCTGGGCCGCTGTTTCCAGGAGACAGCGGCTGGTCAGGTACGCCGCCACAGGCAGAACGCCATCACTACAAGCCTAGTTCTTCATGTCTGCCCCTTTAAGGAAAGGGAATGGATTAAACACACAATAGAAAAAGGAGGCATACAATGTCTTTTAGATCAGTGTTTTTCAACCACTAGTGTGCCGCGAGTGATGGTCAGGTGTGCCGTAGAAAATCATCCTATTTCACCTCATTGGTCTAAAAAGATTGTTTGATTAGGAATGAATAATCTGGAAATAATATGCCATTTTTTGAGTGTCTGTGCTGTTCGAGTGACTGGTGGCTTAATCATGTAATAATTTCTTATGGCTAGATTTTGTATATAATTTTGTATATTGAAGTGGACATGTTAAGAGCAATTTGAGAGAAGAAATATAAAATGTGATAAAAATGGATTTTTGTGTTTATTTGATTCCTATTCGAGACACTTAAGAGAAGATAAGAATAACTATAGTGTTACTATAGGCGGCTACAGATTTGTTTGACATTTCTGTTTGTTGGTGTGCCTCGTGATTTTTTCAACGAAAAAATGTACCTTGGCTCAAAAAAGGTTGAAAAACACTGTTTTAGATGACATGTGGCTCTCTCTTCCAATCACAGTTAGCAAAGGAACACGCAGTAATAGTTGTCAGTGCTTATTGTAGACTTGGTTTAGATCAGGGGTGTCAAACTCTGGTCCGTGGGCCAGATTTGGCCCGCATTGTAATTATATTCGGCCAGCAAGACAATACCAAATGACTAGGAGAGATGGCCCCCGGTATTATACTGTACAGGGCATTAACCGCTCATACTACAACTCCCATAATGCCCTGCTGTTGTTCTGGACAGGACCCAGAAACTCCTCCGTGACAGTAGCTACACACTACAGCTGTCACTGTGCTGCCCCTTCCCAAAAATGACCAAAAGAAAGGCAGGAAACAGGAGCTTTCTGGACAAGCTCATTTCATTTAGATATTTAATTCAGAAGGCTGCCAATAGAAAAATGTTTTAAAATCTTATCTCATTAATGAATGCCATTTATGTGTTTTTTATTTGAAATTTCATTTAGCATGTCTCCACTATTAGGTTTTATATATAATGTAATATGAGTTGCTTGTTCCATATTCAATCTTAAAGCAAAAATCGTTTTGTTCCATATTAAAAGGTTCATTTGTTCAATCTTTGTTCAGGTTTTCCATTTTGGCCCGCTGTGTTTTTGAGTTTGACACTCCTGGTTTAGATGGTCAGGTGCTGCAGATGTTAGCCGAGGAACAGATTTATTGACTCATTTGATAGAGAAAGTTGGAGAGCGTTAGTATGTGTGTCCTCCTGATTTAGTGTAAAGTGAATGTGCAAACAGGTCCAAAACCAGTGGATAATTTTCCGTAGTAGGATCCTAATTGATATTCCCCTCTCCTCCCTGTGGGTCCAGTGTGGGAAGGCTTTACCGGGCCTCACTAAGCAGGAGCAGTGCTGCGGCTCCATCGGGACCTCCTGGGGATTCCACAAGTGCCAGAAGTGTCCCATGAAACCATGTAAGGAAAACCGTCTTTCTTTGAACTTTGACATTGTTCGGGTTCTTTCTTTTCCAGGTATCGAACACAATGCAACGCTCAAAACAGTGTGTTTACGTGTTGAAGTCCATTTGTTCTGCTGGGTCCTGGACCTTCTGAGCATATCTAACCGGTGGTGTACAGTATGGACCAACTCTTTAATAAGTCTCCGGCAGGCAGGAACCAGGAGGGGAATCCGCCTCCCATTCAACAAACCAGCCAGTGTCCACCACTGTTAGGGCCTCCTTTGAGGAGATCTTTTGCATAATCATAATCCAGCTCTTATGAAACCGGACCCCTTTGAGGCTGACTCTTGTGGTCTGTAAATCCTGCTTTCTCGAGATATTTCAATCAGTCTGAAGCGATCCAGGGACGCTGTTTTCGGGATCATCTTTCTCTCATTAAATCAGAATTCACAGTGTACGTTCGGAGGCCGTCAGACTGACAGTGTGTGGTTTCTCAGCTCAGGTAAGACGATACGTGATGAAAAAGGCTCCGTTTCAGGACTCTCCGGTTAAAGAAACGATGAAACCTTAGAGCGTACACAACGCTGCGTGAGCTTTGTCCTGGGCTGAGTCCTCCCAAACAGGTGACTTTCACCGCAGGAGTTTATTTCCAGAGAGGAAAGGCAGTAAATGCCACGGTGGCAGGTGGTGCCAGCTGTTTTTAGAGAGCTAAACTGAGGATGGAGGGAAGTCTGAGCTGGGGCTGCCAGCCTTTTTATGCACGAGCTGGTTATCCAACACTGCTCCCTGTTTAGAAGTATGGAGCTTGTCTTTAAAGCCAAAGACAGGCTGTAGTTTCTTTTTTAGATGTGCCAAAAGCCAAATATATAAACCCAGTGTGAATAATCTGAATGAATAACCCTAACCCTAACCCTGACCCTAACCAGTGGATAAATGAGATGAGATGAAGCTGGTTGATTATTGCAGTGATAGTGACAATTTCAAATAAAATAAGCATGAAAATAGTATATAGAGAAGCAAGGACTGTGCGTAAAAAGAATGATGAGCAACAATATGTGAGGAAACTCAGAAATGGAAGCCAGGTTAAGATGTGCGATGTGCCCTGGCCACCCCAGGGTCTCAGAGCGGGAGCTGGACTCCTTGTGGGTGATACCTCAGTGTGAACCACCACAGGGCCAGACCTGTTTCCCCCATCTGGTCCGCTCAGGATCGCAGATTCCTCGGTTTTTGTGGTCTGCTGTGAAACGGTTTATTGTTCCTCAGAGTCCTTGGAAACACAGCCCTTGTTATTGCCCAGCTTTGGGGGTATTTGGGTACCACCTCACCATTAGGTCCTTTGTCCTTTAATACGAGTGCCTGGTCTCCAACCCGCCGCAGATTTACAGAGTTGGACTTGTTTTTTTCCGGTGCTGAGAGCTGCTGGTCTGATAAGCTTGGAAACATTACAGAGACATAACTGGTTCTATGTCAGTATTTATATGTTTTTTAATTAGGCTTGAGTCAGTATCTGCACACATAGCTGCCAGCTATGCCTTTAAGATGAATGAGGCCTTTATCAGGTTTTTCCTTGTGCCTTTTCTAAAGCCCACATGTTTTAAATTGTTACACTTTGGGTTAGAGTAGAACATTTAGTGCCATTAATTATTTCCTAGCGTGCGTGGTTAAGGTCAGGTATGAATATTGGTTTGAATGACAGAAAGTAGATTAATGTTCATGATACACTTTCCTGATTTTTTACCAAAGTTACCTTCCATATATAGCATTTCATCATGAGTACATGTACATATGTAAATTAATGAAACGTAAGTGCGAAATGTCAAACTTCAAATGAACCAGAACTCAATGTTAAGGGCAGTAAAGCTAATGGACTAACGGCTGTTTGTAGCCAAATCGTGAAAGAAAGCAAGATGCAAAAAACATGCAAGTCATGCTAGGCTTCTTTGCTAGCCATTCTTATTCTTTCTTTTTCTGCAACCTCTTGCTAGTCGCAGAACTTTGGCATCATTCTTGAACTATTCCCCCTGTCGTGATGTCTGTGCCGTGAATGAGAGCCACTTTTGTCCTGTTTCTCCAGCTATCCCCCTGATCGACTGCCCCCAGGGCTACAAGAGAATCAACAACTCTCATTGTCAGGGTAAGAGCTTTTCTTTATTCGAGGAAATTCCAGGAAACTGTCCAATTTAAATCTGTTCTCTTTTTTTAGTGACCCCTATTCAACAGGCCCCAGCCTTAAGAATTTATTTTTCTGTTTTTTTATAGACAAACTTGATTCATTTTGAATGAAATAAGAATAATACAGAAACACCCTGTAGCATATACAGCTGGCAGCAACCATAAGTCTTCCGGAAGATTCTACAGCTAGCTGATTGGACTATGCTAATACGTTTATATCTCTGTCCTCCAAAGATATGATCTTTCAAGCTGGTATGGGTCATGACTTTCCCAGACAATTCTAGTTTGCAGTGTTTTTCAGAGTTATACGAACACATATTTTACTTCTGAATGAGGACAAAGACACAAAGTCATCGTTGAAATGCTAAAGAGCAAATGGAGAGGGTGGCTGTGGTTATGCTAACAGCATTAGCGCTAAACCAGATTGGGGGCCATGTTCTGTGTGTTCAGTTTCTGATTTTTGCCACATTTTGCCACCCATACTCCACCACATCCCTTTTGTCTCACTTTTTTATTACTGTGGTTCTTATTGTAGCCTCCC